TGAATTTCTATTTGTGGGGAGCAACATGTGCCCCGGCCCTGACGCAAAAGTTGCTCATTTTATTTTTCTGCACAACGTAGCCTTCGTTGTTTTTCAGATCTTTCGTTTCTTTTGCAGGGACCTTCCCTGTCCCTTGCCCAGCAGGGCCACCCGGGCAACCAAGGTGGACCGGGCGGCCCCGTTGATGACGAATCTTTGAAGTGCTTCCTTTTGGAATGAGACCACCATGCATGGCACACTCAGACATGAGTTCCACATCACACTGCACTCTCGTGAGACACACGGCGTCCAAGAGAGTCTCTGAAATCAACACAAACTTCGTCACCAGCGGCTATGGCTGCTCAACTCAGCATTCAGGTAAGTCTCTCTCTCTTCTCTCTCCTCTCTCCTCGCTCTCACTCTCACCTCACAGCCCTCTCTCGTCTCTCAAAATGTCCTCCTCACACCACAACTATGGTTATGGCGCCCAGTGCCGTTGACTACACTGCACTAAGCTCACTCTCTCTGACTTGGTCTCGTCCCCAACTTACAAGACCGCAGCAGCGCTTGGGCATTTACTGCCCAACACCTTGTTCTGAAGTCCAGCAGCAGCTGCTGGACTTTTATACTTGCCGATCCACCTTTCAGGCATCTTCTGCTGGTTATGGGTTGGCTCCCCTTTCCTTTGTTTGCTGCTTCTGGAAGCTTACGGGTTCTCCTTGATCTGGCTGTTGGTCAGACTGACTGTCAGACTGACTGACGCCTGGCCTGACGACCTCTGTGTCTGTGGCTGAGGTTCGTGGTGCCTTCTAAACATAGACTCTTTAACCCATAATTGTTCCCTAACAGGAATTTCGTACCACGATCTACTTAACCAGCCTACCTAGGCTTCCAAAGTCATTGTACAAATGAGAGCTACTCTGCTACAGGACTCGTGAATATTGGACGAGTGGTTGGAACCACTACTGGAACTCGGAAGGGGACTTGAGACTAGGATCTAGGACTTGAGACTGGGACATGGGATTCGGGACGAGGAGCTGGGACTCGAGACTCTGTGAATCCTTTTTTCACTTTTTTTTTTTCTTTTTTTTTAAGCTCAGCAGAGTCAGCACATATGTTTAATATCGACGAAAAGCAAACCAAGAAAACATTCAGCTGGCTTACCTCTCTGGAAAGAAATACTTTGCTCCACGACTCCTTACTCAACCCCAATGTGTTTTGACCGCAGAATGCCCCAATAGAAAGATTTGTCTCTTTTCTCAGCACATTTGCTTGCTACACAACATAAAACCGCCATCGATTGAAAAAACGACAAGAGAAAGAACTGAGAAAAGTTCAGAAACCAGACAACTTCAATTAAATCCGGAACTGAATGTCACGGAAAAAAGAAAAGAAAAAGAAAAGGCGCAACCACAATCGGAAATCAAACTTGGCAATAACATGCATGTCTACATTTTATGAGATGAACCGGTTATACGGATCCTCTCTCTCTCTCTCTCTCTCTCTCTCTCTCTCACACACACACACACACACACACACACACACACACACACACACACACACACACACAGAAACTATTCGAGAGCAAGTGAAACAGCACAGCAGGAGAGAGAAGGAGAACCTATAATGTTTTCCATGGGAGCTGGGTGATTAATCAAGTTATCAACTCAGGCCATCAATCATCCTGGCCTAATCATCCATTACCATCATTAATTATCTGGCCTATCATACAAGAGGGTCCTGCACAACCTTCATAATTCCTTTTTCCTGGTCTGTTTCAACGATTTCAGACAGTCAGGGCCTTTTTTGCCCTGTTGGTGATTTGTTTTTTTGTAGCCGGTACAGTGGATCCGGTACAATGCTCCACAACCCATGCTCAGTTTTCTGGCCTGTTTTCAGCTATGGCAGATATGCAGGCCATTTTTTTTTTAATTTTTTTTTTAACCAACCAATTTTGTTCTGGGACTTTCTTTGCTTAGTCTGTGAATCTGTTCTTGTAGTACCTGGTCTGTTTTCAGTGATTGCAGAAAGTCGCTGCCTTTCTTGCCCAGTTGGCTGCGTTACCAGAGTGGCCGGGACCACTTGCCCCGCTGGGCCAAAAATGGAAAAATATATATATATATTTCCCAAAATAATTTTTGGCAGAGGCCAAACTTCTCAAAGCCGAACGTTCCGGGGGGGGGGACCCCCCTGAAAGTTCCGTCTGGTAACCCTACCCTACTATATGTATCGTCACATGAATATCAGAGCGCAAAGGCGAAAAAAAAACAGAAGAAAAAAAAAAAAAAAATCATTATTTAATCTTCTTTCTAACAACTCCCCCTGTTCAGAACCTCTTGCGTACAAGGCCACCCACGTGGATGTAGGTTGAGCGGCAGCTGCCCCCACCCCCGTGTGTCATATCGACCCACTTGCACACAGCCAAAGGGCAAAGAGGCAGAGAAAAGAGGAAGGGAACAGCCAAATACAACAAAACAGGGTCACAAAATATCAGAGCGCAAAAGCGAACAAAACAAAAAGAAACAAGAAAGATATCAATTCAATTTTTATCTTCTTACTTACAACTCCCCCTGTTCAAAACCTCTTGAGTAGTGGTAGGTAGGTAGTGTGAGGTGAAATTGAGAGAAGAACATAGCTTTAAAAAAAAAAAAAAAAAAAACCTCTTGCGTACAAGGCCGCCCACGTAGGTGTAGGTTGAGCGGCGGCTATATACTGTATATCGTCAAACAGAGCTGCCCGGTAAACCGTAGGCAGAGAGGGAGGGAGAAGAGGACAACACACGAGGGGCTGTGACAAACTGTTTCATCAGGTCCCAGCATAGATGACGTCCTTCGGGAGATCCGTTAACATTGGATCGATCGAGAGACTGAAGATTAGCATGGGCCCTGCGCAAGAATGACACGCATAAATCGAGAAATGGTCCAGATTGGTATTAAAAAAAGAAGAAGAAGAAGAAAAAAAAGCACAGATGAGGGGTCAAAATGCAGAGTTGTTTTCTCTCCTTTTCATAAGGGAAAGGAAAACAAGGGAGGTAAAAGCCGCAAAAGAAGAGGGTGGGGGGGGAGGGGAACGAGGGCAAGCAGTACGAATCAAATTCCCACCTGTTCGACCAGCACTGTCTTGGGCGCAAGGAAAATCGCGCGAATTTTACGGTCCTTCCTCTCTTGCAAATCTCCCGCCATTTCCATCAGCACCATAACTGCAATGCGCGTCTTTCCCGCTCCTGTTGGCAATATAACGATGCTATTTCCATCTCTGGCCATTTCAAACAACACTTTCTGGTACGTTCTGTTCTCGAGTTCTTGATCCAGGCGATCACCTCCTCCTCCTCCTCCTCCTCCTCCTCCTCCTCCTCCTCCTCCCCATCTTCTTTTTTGTCCTCGCCCTCCTCCTTGCTCAGCATTGACAGGGATTTGCCGGACACCTCCTTCTTGTTCCATGCACTCACTGCCTGCCATTGCTCTCCCTTCTCCTTCTTCTCCTCCTCCTCCTCTCCTCCCTCCCTCTCCCCCTCCCTCCTCTCTCTCGTCCCTCTTCTCCCTCTCCTCCTCACTCTCCTCGTCGTCCTCGTCCTCCTTTCCCTCCCTGTCCTCCAATTCGACGGATTTTTTGTCCTTCTTGCTGGCTTTTATCTCCGATCCCCCTTTCCACCCACTACTAAAAAATAGCTTCAGCTTGGCGTCGAAGCGACTGCCGTTCACGGACCTCGCTCCCCCACTGACCACATGCACAAAAGACAAAAAATATGGCAGTGTATCTTTCCATATCGTAGCGGAAGATTCATTCTCATTTTGCACGTTCGGTGAGTACTGGAGCGAGTTGTTGTTGTTGTCGTTGTTACATCAACTTTTCAACAAAAGAATGTGTTGTCGTCAACATCTATGCATACCAAGAGTAGTGGAGCGAGGCCCCAAGTCTCTTCCGGCCATTTACGCTCGTACCCTTCCTGATGGGCTTCCCCCTTCCCCCTCGCCCCTCCCCTTCCCTGTCCCTCCCTCCTCTTCTTCTGCGCTCCCTAAAACCCTTACCGAAAATTCCGTGATACCGCCCTGTGTCAAGCCATACGCACACCAGCACTTTCGCCAAAATGCATCTGACTGCAACGACGACACGACGTGTATGAATCTGACCGCATTCACGTCCAGGGAGGGCTTTGTAGAAAAAGTCCTCGTGCGAGTTACGCCCTCACTCTCCTGCATGCAATCGTGTGGTGTCGTGCTGTGACGCGCTGTATCGGATCCAAGCCTCTCTTCCCTACTCACGCCGGAAAAACGCGCCCCTTTCCACGGGGAGTTTCTGAGGAGGGGAAGGAGGAGAAGAAGAAGAAGAAGAAGAAGAAGAAGAAGAAGAAGATAAGCAATGGCCCAAAGTGCTCTTCACACGCGATAGAAAAACTCCAGTTTCTTACAAGCGTCTACATTGCTCAAACGCGGAGGCATTCCTCTACATGTTCCAACCGGGTGCGCTCCGGTCTCATCAGCAAGGAGGCTTCCCACATATCCCTTGAATTTCGGCCCACCTTGCTCTACCCCACCCGCTGAGCTGTGAGAGGACTCGACACGGCCTTGCCCTCAACTTGTACATTAGGCCTTTCCTTTGGACGTTCCTGCCTCGCTTATCTCATGAGTGCTGATTGGCTTCGACCATCCTGCGTGGGATCCTAGGCGCCTGCCCCCCCCTCTTGATCCCGTGCAGCCGCTCAATCCATCGTGTCCTGGATCCTGAAGCTCTGCGTGTGCTGGACTGCCCTGGAATTCCCAGGTAGTTCGCGTGTATGTGCCTCGCTCCACTACTCTCGACATGCACAAAACACAAAAATCACGGCGGTGTATCTTTTTCCATGTTCTAGCGGACGATTCACTCTGGTTTTGCACAAGTCGAGAGTACTTGAGCGAGGCCGTGTTTCCCGCCAGGTCTCTTCTGGAAAGTCGAATTTCCATCGAACCTGCCGCTCTTTCACTTTCCCTCCCACAATCCGTTACATCTCGCCGAACTTCCTTGCGTTTCTCCTTCGTCTCTCTTGCAGTCTACACTACACGCGTCGTACTCCGGTGGTCCTGCAGCCTCCTGGGCCTTTGCTTGGGTCTTACAACCCCGTAGCGTGTCCACCCGTCGAGCTGGCAATTACCTCACAGGACGGCCTTTCAGGCCTCCTATTTTTTGAGCGCGATGCCATCAAATTTTAAAACCAGAATTTCAGACGAGCAGGCGGGAATTTAGTGCGCATTGCGTCCCGCGTCGACTATCAATTTTTTTAGTCTAGCAAATTTTTGACCCTCGTGTCTCTCCTGAAAGCTCTACAAATTACAAAGACCGGTCGTCGCTTGAAAGCTCTACAAATTACAAAGACCGGTCGTCGCTTGAGCCTACGTACCCTCAGTAATCAGAACACAGATTTACAGTGCCGCAGAGACAAACTCATCCTACGTGCGTAGAATCATAGCATATATTATTATTGACATACCGCGAGGACGCGGGCCCGCAGCCCGCAGTGTGCCCGCGAATCCGGTAGCACTGAAGGTGTGCAGGAGTGAGGCAGTAAACCCGAGTTCGAATCCAGACACATCTAGATGAGCCGGATAAAATGAGTGTGCAATACTTAGGGCCGGCCAGTTTACTCATGATATCGGCTCACAGCCGATCCACCCGTTCCACTCAGGGCATACTCACCAGTTGGTACACCGATGACCTTGCATGAGCTATTCAAATACAGACCCAAGTTTGAATCCAGGCATACTCAGACGTGGACCTACACCAGTTGGTACACCCATGACCTTGCATGACCTATTCAAATACAGACCCAAGTTTGAATCCAGGAACGCACGGCGATTTTGAATTATATCTCTCTCAGCCTTTCGGCAAACCTCCCGTGGCCTAGCATCCACCCTCCACTACAACATGGACCTTCAAAAAAAGAAAAAAAATGAATGCACAAAGCTGTTCTATTTTTGCAGTTTCTAACTGCCCTCTGCCCAGGTACCTCGTCCCACTAGCTCCGTTGAGCTAGGTCAACGTTGGGTTTTTGACGCTGTGTGTGACTGTACGCCACAGCGGAGATGCACGTCGTCCAAGTCATCTAGCCGTCCTTTTTTAATAAAAAAGGCAAGAGAGACTATCTTTGATTTTTCTTACAACAAAAAGCAGAAGTAAATCCTTTCTCTCGAATACTACTCCCCCTACCCTCGCCACTTTCCGTTGAGCTAGCTGTCTCCTCGAGACAGCTAGGACCTCTTGTTCCCCCAAAAGGCCTTTTTTCAGAGAAACTGTACGGGCAACTCTTCATTTTTTGCTGTGGAAGTGCCCGTATGCCACTCCAATTGTGAAAAAAGAAAAACCAGAACAATTGTATTTGTGCCATTTATAAATGCATTTCTCATTTGAAATTGAATTAGAATGAATTTTTTTAGCTGTCGCATCTTTGAGCTGCCTCAACTAAGTGGTGCAAGTGGGACAAGGGGCATGGTCCCACTAGCAACCGGATAGGATAGAAACGAGTTTGTGGGACAGTTGAGTGACCCAAATCCTTCGGTGCAGTACTTGTTATCCCACGGTCAGTATTTTACATGTATTACCCGAAAAAGTAAGGAGATCTTGGTTCCCCTCCTCCTCTCCTTAAACCACCAGTACTTGGCCCATACATCGGCCGCGGGCCCTTAGCGTTAATGCTACGCGTTTCCCGCGCTTCGGCTTACCGGACCGCACTGGCTGGAGGCGCCAGCCAAAGTGGATGCCGCTCGGCGCCGCGGTGGTTCGTGGGAACTTGGCGCGCAGGGGGTCGGTCGGCAGGCGTGGCAGGGATAGCTGGGCCAAGTACTGGTGGTTTAACACTGGGCATGCCGGTGCAAAGGAAGCTTCCCGCCAAAATCTTTTCAATCCGTTGGGGACGTGGCCAACCCCAAACGAGAGCAGGGTCGGCCATAGGCCCACTGGATAGAAGATTTTCAGTATTTTGCTTGCTGTTGTGCAATTATCTCATTGGGTGCAGCCCTCCTTCAATCACGGAGTATATGGAGGGCGTCAGGATCACTGCTGACAGAAGTTGAGTTTATTGCAGAAAATGTGGCAGTTACTTTCTGCACTGTTGTTGTAAATACCACCATCAGATCATTTGTGATCTGATGGCTGGGAAGCACTCTGCCGTGATTTCAGGTGGGAGGTCTCTGTTCCTTTTTTTTTTTTTTTGCCTTTCTCCTGTTTTCTCACCCCAGAAATTCGTAATGAACCTGTCAGGCCGCTGCCACTCAGTGTCACACTGGATCGGCCACACTCCTATCCGACTGCTAATGGGACCACACCCAAGGTCCCAGAACCGCAGTGCCCTGTTGTTCCTTCCTGCGAATTAGGAACTGTGCAGCACTCACCCGCGTATTATTATTTTTTTTCCCCTTCCCTTCCCGATGGAGCACAGATTGGGTATGGAACTGATCGGAACAGAAATTGCACTTCAAAAAAAAAAAAAAAAAAAAAAAAAAAAAGTGCATTTCCTGTTCCGATCATTTCAATATCCAATCTGTGCTCCATCGGGAAGGGAAGGGAAAAAAAATAATAATAATAATCATAACTGCGCGGGTGACTGCTGCACAGTTTCGAATTCGCAGGAAGGAATAACAGGGCACTGCGGTTCTGGGCAGAGGGCAGTTAGAAACTGCAAAAACAGAACACCTTTGTGCATTCTTTTTTTCCTTTTTTTAAAGGTCCATGTTGTAGGAGAGGGTGGATGCTAGGCCTCGGGAGGTGCCTGTCAACGTACTCAACCAGCGAGGGGATCAGATGGCTTGTGCCAACCCCTAGGGACAGTCTTTCACCAGGGTGTATCATTCGTTTTATTTCCTTTACCTATCGCAAGTCAAGCCCTATAGCAGTGCAACCCAGACCTCTATATCTAGACCTAGACCTACACCAACCCGCACCTTCCAAGGAGTGTGACGAACTACTTCCCGAACCCGTGCTATCTTTTGTACCCTATTCGCTTGTATCCTACCCACCCCATAAGGACCCCGTTTCGTTTTCTAAATTTCGGGTGCCGCGTTTCGAGCTCCCATCTTCCGGAAGCTTTTGTGATTCTTCGGTTCGACTTTTTTTTCTTTTTGCACGTCGTGAAATGCATAGGAATTTACACGCGCCTTAGCGAGCGCACTGGGAATTGGGCCCGACAGTTGGGAATTCAGGGATAAGCAGAACTTCGACATGTCCTTTTTGTGTGTGAATGTTCTCAGTCGCGTTGGGGAAAACTCTCGGAATTTTGTGGGGATACGAATAGGCGTAGGACTTTCTTTTCCCGCGTCGCTCTTTCGCGCGCGGATATGGTGATTTCAATTTTGAATTGGTTTAGGATGTAGGCAAGCTGTAACTGCTTCGGTGCCTTTTTCTCCTTTTTTTTGTTGATGGCGCCGCGCATGCAAAACTTTCTCCTCCCTGACCCCCGCATCGCTCTCTCCCGCGCTCCTTTTTCCTTCCCCCTCCTCTTCCTCTCTCCTCGTAACTGTTTTTCTTCCTCTCTCTCTCTCTCCCGCTCTACTCTTTGCGCGCCCATTTTCCCTTTCTTGATCGTCTGAATCTTGGGCCCGTCTTGCGCTACTTCTCGCGCCTTTTTTTCTTCTCACCCTCCGAACTCAGCGCACGACGCCCGGTCGATCCTTCGATAACTCCCGCTCGCCAATCAGGTACGTCGATCAATAGGATCTTCCTATTGCGCGACGAATCTGATTGGTTGAACCTTGAGTCTCGAGGGATCAACATGGCTTTCACGGAGTGCACTTCTCAAAGTCTTCTCCTCCTGCTTCTCTCCTTAGACTTTGACTTTCCCCCTGCCTTCTCTGTAGCGGACCCACCAGGTGTGGTGCTCCGCTAGTGACAGAGATGGAGATGGAGGAAGAAGGAGGGAGCAAGGTGCATAGCGCAGCTCCCCACGCAAGACTCCAACGCACGTACTCCAAAATGTGCAAGTGAAGAATGAGCCTGAAAACAGACAATGGTTGGGGTATACCCCAGCGGACTGACGGGACTGGACTGGACTGGCCTACGCCGAATACAACACAGGCCTGTGAGAACAGGCCAAGGGGCTGGTCTCACAGGCCAACCCGAGGTTCGCTACACGATCCTCGGCCTATGATGGATCGCCTAGATACAAACATGCTTCCGCCAAGAAGCGGAACTCTACCAAAGAAAAGAAAACCTGAGTAGTCTAGGATGCGGAGCAAGCTCCGTGCTGAGTCCATGCGATGCAACCTAGGATATAAAATGTCACAAAACAGCAATGTCACAGCTAACAGCCTAAGTGAAAGCAGAAKCAACTAACTAACATACATGTCCTAGGAAAGCAAAAGCAACTAACTAGCATACATGTCCTAGGAAAGCAGAAAGTAGTGACAACCAGATCCTAGAATGTTGGAGGCACTAGCCTCAGTCTGGTAACAAATGACTAGTGTATAAGTCCTAAGAACAACAAAAGCAGAACAGCTAAATCCTAAAAATGTCAGAGGCAGTAGCCTCAGTCTGAGAGCAACAAAGCAATCAACAAAACAACCATATGTCACATGAGAAGTGTGTCGCAAACCAAAGGGTGGGATGGTCTCTGAGGGTGGCGAATGCAGCCTAGGGGTCGAAACTCCTAAGGGCATCCACACATAGAGAATAGGGAGACACATGTCATTAGGCTCAATGAGGGTAGGGAACTGAGAGCGAACAAAACCAATGACCCTAACAGATAGACCATCAGGGCGGGTAATGCTCGACTAAGGGGTGACCGCTATGGAGGGTCGACCATGGGAATAAGGGAGCCTG